AAGTGGTTTTTACGTGGCGGGTCCCAAGCCCAGCGCACAACCCATTGTTGTAAACATCCAATTTAAAAACAGTTTATGTTTTCATCAGTTAAATATGTTTCATATGCATATACAAAAAAACTTATTGCACAACAGCTTATACTTCTATTTCACACCAAAGCTACACCGTATCCATGTAAATTTTCAAAGAAGCAACACGGTGCCACTGCTAAGGGAGCGGTGCGAGATAGTTGTAGCTGATAAAATATTCCACTCCTATATGGTGTGCCACGCCTTCTTTTACAAACTCATTTTTATATACCCTCCTATAAGCACCTACCATTGAAATGTCTGCATACCAAATTTCATGTTCGAGTGATTTGTGGTTCCGAAGTTATAGCTGAGAAAAAATTCCACGCCTATGGGATATGCTACGCCCCCTTTTACAAACTTGTTTATAAATACCCTCATATAAGCACCTACCATTGACATGTCTGCATACCAAATTTCAAGTTCATGCCTATGGGATATGTAACGCCCTTTTTTACAAACTCGTTCATACATACTCTCCTAAAAGCACCTACCATCGAAATGGCTGCGTACCTTATTTCGAGTTCGTGTGACTTATGGTTCCGAAGTTATAGCAGATAAAGAATTCCACGCCTATGGGATGTGCCACGCCCCCTTTTACAAACTCCTTTATATATACCCTCCTATAAGCACCTACTTTTAATATGTCTGCATACCAAAATTTCAAGTTCGTGTGACTTATGGTTCCGAAGATATAGCTGATAAAAAATTCCACGGTTATGGGATGTGCCACGCCCCCTTCTACAAACTCATTTACATATACCCTCCTATAAGTACCTACCACTGGTATGTATGCATACCAAATTTTAAGTTCCTGTGACGTATGGTTCCGAAGTTATAGCTGATAAAAAACTCCGCGCCTGTGGGTTGTGGCACGCCCCCTTTTACAAACACGTTTATATATACCCTCGTATAAGCATCTACCATTGATGTGTCTGCATACCAAATTTCAAGTTCGTGAGACTTATGGTTCCGAAGTAATAGCTGATAAGAAATTCTGCGCCTATGGAATGTGCCACGCCCCCTTTTAAAAGCACGTTTATATATACATTCGTTTAAGCACCTACCATTGATATGTCTGCGTACCAATTTTCAAGTTCGTGTGACTTATGGTTCCGAAGTTATAGCTGATACAATATTCCACGCCTATGGGATAAGCCACACCATCTTTTACAAACTCGTTTATACATTCCCTCCTATAAGCACCTACCATTGATATGTCTGCATACCAAACTTCAAGTTCGTGAGACTTATGGTTCCGAAGTTATATCTGATAAAAATCTCGCGCCTGTGGGGTGTGCCTCGCCCCCTTTTACAAACTCCTTTATTAATACCCTCCTATAAGCAACTACGATTGGTATGTCTGCATACCAAATTTCAAATTCGTGTGACTTATGGTTCCGAAGTTATAGCTGATAAAAAACAACCACGCCTATGGGATGTTTCGCGCCCCCTTTTGCAACTTCGTTTATACATTCCCTGCTATAAGCACCTACCATAGTTATGTCTGCATACCAAGTTTGATGTTCGTGAGACTTGTGGTTCCGAAGTAATAGCTGATAAAAAATTCCGCGCCTATAGTATGTGCCACACATTTACAAACACGTTTATATATACCCTCGTATAAGCACCAACCATTGATATGTCTGCGTACCGAATTTCAAGTCCGTGTGTTCCAAGGTTATAGCTTATAAAAAATTCCACGCCTATGGGATGCGCCACGCCCCTTTTTGCAAACTCGTTTTTACATTCGCTCCTATAAGCACCTATCATTGATATGTCTGCATACCAAATTTCAAGTTCGTGTGACTTATGGTTCCGAGGTTATAGCTTATAAAAAATTCCACGCCTATGGGATGTGCCACGCCCCCTTTAACAAACACTTTCATTATACCCTCCTATAAGCACCTACCATTGATATGTCTGCATACCAAATTGCAAGTTCGTGGGACTTATGGTACCGAAGTCATGGCTGATAAAAATTCCACGCCTATGGGATGTGCCCCGCCCCTTTTTACCAACTCGTATATATATATCCTCGTATAAGCACCTACCATTGATATGCCTGCATACCAAATTTAAAGTTAGTGTGACTTATGGTTCCGAAGATATAACTGATAAAAATTTCCACGCCTATGGGAGGTGCCTCGCTTTCTTGTCGGATCCCAATTTTGTCACCCGATTATAGGCCTAAGTGTCATGGCAATACTCTGTCAAAATTTTGTTCTATTCTGTCCGTCCGTTTAGACTGCAACCTGGCACATACATACTTTCACAAATATATAGTAGATATATGCATATTCTGCGTGCAAAGCTGATGAAGAATTTAATGAAAAGTAGCAAAACATTTCAAACATAAACCCACATCACATTTTGCACAGGCTACTCGTCGTATAGTTTTACATGCTTCACCAGCACAAAGAAGTGTTTTTGTCAATTTGTATGGGTCAGTGGTGTAGTCACAAAAAGATATAAGGTCCCAGTGAGGAGACCCCCGAGGCAAGGTATTTGGCATCCAGCTGTCAATTAAAGACCACAGAAAGTATTTGGGAGTAGTCTTGGAGAGTAAGCTGCTGTGGATGCGCAATGTTGAAGAAAGAGGGAAGAAGGCCAGTAACGCCCTTTATGCATGTAAAAGAATGCTGGGAGTCACTTGGGGTTTGTCAACTGCTCTGATGCTACACAGCAATAGTCCGCCCAATACTGCTCTATGGCGCTTTGGTGTGCTGGAATGCCGCACAAAAGTCCTTATGCCTCGGGCTAATGGAGAAGGTGCAGCGCCTAACGGCACTGTGCATAGCGGTAGCGCTGAGGTCCACATCGACGGCTGCTTTTTAAAA